ATATAAAAAGTTATTTAGACAATTATCTTTCATTGATGATTTTGTTCTGAATCAGAAAGTGCTGCTCAGATGTAAGACTTCAAATCTTGGTCTCCAATACTGTAGTACCTACCTGTAGCTAAGGGAGACAACCCGCTATTGTCCTAAAATGATGGCCAACTTTGTTCCCACTCCCCATCTAGAAGCCTTTGAGAGGGAACTGATACTGATTCTAACCACTGCAACAGCTATCAAAATGCCTGAAAGGAAATCCTGAATCCATCACTCTTGAGTCTAGCCTTGGCAGATAAAAGAAAAATGAGGAGGAACCCAATAGAGGGATGCTTTTGGAAGCTCTCATCAAGAAATTCCAGTGGACTCTCATATGAACATTTGAAATTTGCTCTGTTTTGATTTTTTTCTAGTTCCCTATCTGGAACTTGTAATGCTAATTACTCTTGCCTTTACTTCTTCTCATCTCCTATTCACCAGTCAAGGACTTTCTTTTCCCCCTACAGATTAAGAGATATGCAATTTGGGAGTCTTTTGGATAGACCCACTGAAGGGGTACCCCAGTTGCCTCACCCTGCGTCCCTGGTCAGCATGGAAGAAGCCAGAGTGGTCTGTGTTCTGATTCCCTATGCGCAAGCTGGGTAACCTCTTCAGCAGATGGTGTGATGAGAATAGGATGTAGGAATTCGCTAGGCAGTTAGTATAAAAAACCCTAAAGAAAAGTAGCCAGATTCTTGGCTAAAAGTCAAAACGTACTTGGGCCTCTTAGCAATATACTCGGTTCCAAAGGCCAAAATGTCGAAAGTATTTGGGAACTTTTATCTAATCCTTAAAGGATTTTAGGGTTACCTCTTCAGAGGGGGGAATGTAAGAGTAGAAAAACTCCCATTTAAAAAAAGAAGAAAGAGTACATGAAGTTATTAGAAAAAAGTGATGAGGAGATATGGGAGGAGTTGAGGGGGAGGGATAGGCATGGATTTGATCAAAACACCTTACATGCTTATATGCCTGTATGAAATTCTTGATAAACTATTTTTTAAAATTTTTGTTGTATATTTTTGACTTCTTTGTAAATAAGCTATTTATGTACCATGCCCATTTCAATTTTTTTTCTTAAAGATTTTTAGAAAGATTTAAAGATCTAGACGTATCCTAAATTCTGGACACTGTTGCTCATCATATTCATCTTTTCAGTAGATTCTTTACCATAGTTATCATCCATTTCTACGTCCATACCTTCTGATAATCCTTAGGTCTGTGTTGTCCGTAAGTTTCCTCCTTCTCTCCCTTCCCCACCTCTTCTTTCCTCTTCCACCTCCCTCCCCCCCTCGTTCTCTTTTGTTCTCTGGCTTTTTCAGATAGGGTCTCATGTAGCCCAGGTATCATCTCCCCCGTTCTTTCCTTCATTAACCTGTGTGTGTGTGTGTGTGTGTGTGTGTATGAGTGTAATGCCTGCATGTATGTACGTGCGCTCATATCATGCAATGCCTGTGGAGGTCAGATGCAGGTGTTGGATTCCCCTGGAAATGGCATTATGGACAGGACAGTTAGCTGCCCTGAGGGTGCTGGGAATTGAACCCCGGTCCCCTGCAAGAGCAGCCATTGCTCTAAACCACTGAGCCATTTCTCCAGACCCCTCCTTTGCTTTTTTGAAACAGGGTCTCATATAGCCCAGGTAGGTCTCAAACTCACTATGTGGCCTTAAATTCCCAATCCTCCTGCCTCCAGCTCATTTGTGAGATTGCTGGCATGCATGAATCACTACAGCCAGTCCCATGGGTCTGTTTCTATGACTGACTTTTTGTTGATCTTGATTTTTTTTTCATGATTTACTTCTTCTTCATATCTTCAGTAACTTTTTGTGGAGTAATAGACATACTGGATATGTTTCAGAGTCAGGATTCTGTTATCTTCCTCTTAAGAGCATTGAGTTTG